ACATTCGTGTATTTTCTTTTGTTTTGATTTGAAAATATAACTAATTTGAAGCAGATTACGTTCTAATAGCTGTTTACGAATAAGCATTTTCGAATATACTCCTGATAGCATGAACCTTATGGCGCCTGTACGCAGAAACTGTTCAGTTCACAAAAAGCTTAGTAATAGTTTGTAGGGAATTTTCTCTAGTTTAATTTATCAAGTAGCCTCTTTCATCAAAGAAAGGCTCTTACCATATCGATAATATTATCAGAACCTAATCAAAAAACTGTTTTGGGTGCCATTTTCTCGCGAGGTAGTAAAGTGGATTTTCGGAAAGGTCACTTCGAAATATTTATACAAAAGCAATGATTTTCAGGACTTTCCGCCAACATTACAGATAAAATCATCAACTCATTGGACTAATGAACGATTTCTGAAACAATTTATCCTACTAAAAATGACGCCAAAGTATAGGGTCCGTCAGAAAGATGGCATGTTTCTTAAATGAGTAGTACAGTCAAAATAAGTATGGGAAAAATATTTTATTATATCTAAATACTCAGAAATACATGCCATTTTATGAGGAAAACAAAATTTACGTTCTAAAAAATATGTCGGTCATGTGGCGCCCTTGAGGAATGCAGGAATCAAGCCTCTCCCGAAATGAGACCATTACGTCGGCCAGCATCCGTGCAAGAATTTGGGTTACTTCTCTTCTTATTTCCTCTTTCAAATCGACGAGGGACCGAGGCTTGCTTTGGTAAACCTTTGATTTCAGGTAGCTCCATAAAAAAAATATACACGTTGACAGGTCTGGGGAGCGCCATGACGTGAAATAAGGTGTCCTGGGAATTTTTGCCGAAGAAGTTCCATCGAAGTGCGAGCTGTATGAGATGTTGCCCCTTCTTGTAGGAACCACACTGTTCTGAGATGGACACGTCGACGTTCCGGAAAAAAAAATTGTTCAGCATGTGGATGTGACGCTCTGAATTCACAGTAGTTGTTTCTCCATCATCCCAAAAAAAATAAGGGCCAATAATCATCGTTGTGCCTACTGCACACCAAACTGCAACTTTCGGGGTATGCAGGGGGTGCTCATGCAACTGTTGGGGGTTCACTGGAGACCAATATCGACAATTTCGTTTATTGACGTATCCATGTAAATGAAAATGTGCTTCATCACTCATAAACAACGTTATGTCATTGTTATCCAACTGCAAAATTAACACGTTGTGCATAATCCCCTGGCAACAGTTGTTGAAAAACTTGGATCTTATAAAAATGGAACACTAAATCCTTCTTCAAGATGCGACGTACAGAGGACACGTGGATAGGGAACTGGCACGCAAACGGACGGAACGATTCGGGCTTTGCAACGTGTCAACTCTCACTCCGTCTACGTTTTCGCGGGTTCTAACGGTACGGTTTCGCCCTGATGGTTTTTCCTTCGTCATATTACCTGTTGTGTTGAATGCTTCTACCCATCTCAAAATGGTGTTACGCTCTGGTACTCTCCCACGACGTGGAAAACGAAAATGAACGCGTAACTCACGTTGCGTTCTAACGATAGACTCGCCATTTTGTAAGTACCGACGTACAGTGAACACACGATGCTCAACGTTCCGAACCATCTTGCCAACTAAAACGGCACTTCTCCCACTATCCAAAATGCCCTTCCCCACCGACACGGAACCCGCCCACTCGATGTAGTACTCATTCGAAAAACAAGCGTTCTTTCTGACGGACCCTGTAGATTGTCGGTGTACTCGTAACTCTGCACTAATAAACTTTGAAAATGCAACATAGTATCTAAGTCAGCTTTAGGTATCTTTATTATTAGCAGCTATAGAAATCCCTGTACTTTGACATAAGACCGTACAATGGAGTGTATCAGTGAAAAACATTATTGGTGATTAAAAAAACGAGATTATGGACTTTGAAGTGTCAAGTTTCATACGTTCTGATATTTCTACTATTCGCCGACCATGGAAATCCTTACAACTAGCGATATCATAGAATTGAGTTATTTAATTTTTTTCTTATACATGGCTATCGCTATACCTACATGGAGCATTATATCTGCGTCGTCGACGATTTTGATGGCTGGGGCACCATTTGCGTTACTGAATTCGGATCGGACCTTTCGCAGGGAAATTATAACGCATTTTTGGCTACCTGGTGTTGCTGAAGTAATATGTGTTATATTGTGTCTAACAAGTGGGTTAACCACCGAGATTACAAACTTCTGGATAATTAAACTTCTTTAAGTTATACAAAAAATGCAACAATTACAAGCTACTCCTTACAATCCTCAACTCCCAATTTTCAAACCATACAACAGTTTTTCTGAAAATGATTACCAGTGTCTGAAACGCTAAAAAACGAAAGTTTGAGCGATTTTAATTCCTTATTTCGATGTTTCACCCCAGCTCCACCGGGACGGCATCAATTGTAAAAAACTAAGAAGCTTTTTCATCCTTGTCATGGTAGTAACCTTGTGTGAAAGTTTCATCAAAATCCGACCGATACTTTCCAAGTTATAGAAGGGTCAAGGACTAGCGGACAGACGAATCGACAGACAGGCAAACAGAACAAAGAAAATCAGGTGATACATCATTTACACACGCATCCAAAAGACATATATAGTTCTCAAAAAATGTCCACTATTACACTACCTTCTCTAGTTTAGCTAGTACAAATACTGCAAACGAAAGGCTAGGCCATATTTAACACTCGAGACTTTGATTTCTTATGACTTAAATCACAAAGAACGTTGTCTACGTATGCGTAATTTGTATTGCCAAAAGTCTGCATTGACTGCTTAAATCATGAATTCACTTAGAATGGAGACATTGCCAAAAAACTGTTTTGGACACCACAAGTTTTTAAAACTTCCATAAAGCTTTCCAGGTAACATTTTTTGAGCACTAATTCAATGATTTGAAGGTATCGTTTTTTGTTTTGGAATCCGTGTGACTCGTAAAAACCTTTAATGGGTTTTTTCCACTAATGTGCCACTGTAACTAATCTCGGTCTTACAAAACAACCAACAATTAAAATGATTTGACGGGCATTTAGCAGTAGAACAATAAACAATATAATTTTATGATATTCTATGAGCATAATAATTCACTAATATGAGGCTATTGTTTTCCGGTGTCTAGAATCGTAAACCTGTACAAAGATTTTTTCTGATTTGGTCAATGATTCTACATATCGAGAGCGTGCTTCTGATAAAGAAATAGTAAATAATGAGGTTCATTTTTTTGAGCAGTTGCAAACCAACAGGAGTTATTTAAGAAACTTATTTCAATCATGTAGGTTGTTTTAAGATCAGATTAGCCATTCACGGTAAAAGCATCGATGAATTAAACCACATAATTTTTGAAATAGTATAGCAGTTACCAGAATCGGCTTCTGTGGAAGCGAAGACAGCAGACTGTCTGTTGGTACTGTATCCCAGTTCGAATTGTCAGACTGGTTGTCACTGTGGTCCCTAGATGCCGGCGATTCCGAAGATATATTAGATATGGTCTGCTCGCCATTGAACAAACTAGTAATATAGGTTTCATTCGTCCGACCACAGGGGCCATCCATGGACAGCTGTATGCTTGAGACCATGCTGATGAGTTGCCGAATAGCACGAAACAGCTGTCCGTGTTTGGCTGTTTGCCAGTGGCGAAGGGTAAATGCAACCATTGTTACCATTGGTAACAGTTAAAAATCTTAAAAATAAATATTTTATGACTGTGAAATAATTTCATTTATTTGTTTACCAACAGCGATATGTAATAGTAATTCAGTAAATAGCAAATTAGCCCCACGAAAATAATGCGCACTATAGTGTCTAAGTTTTGCGAACACGATGAAGCTGACTCGCCTCGACTTGGTTGTCGGTTGTTACCATTTTCATTTATGGATGCACTTGGTAGTCCATCGGGGACCGTCGGAACCGGCTTGTTACCATTTTTTGATTTGGTTACTCACTTCTCACTCGTTAGTAGCCGTTTTGGTTACCGGCTATAGTGTGCGTGCAATTAAACATGGATGAGTGTCGCTGCGTAATCGATCAACTACTTGAAAAGTCATTCTCCTTGTATAATTTTTAAGAAAAAAGGAGATCATTGAAAATGGAAGACCAACACCTATTTTAGATAATTTTAAAAAGAAATAAAAAACGTAGTTTGATATTTTACATTAAGTTGGTATATGGAAACTCTTGGTTATGTGGTCGCAAAAAAACATATTGTATTGTTGGCGATGTCTTCTGTTTTATACAGAAAAAAATGGGTGGACCAGCAGCGGAGTCAACGATTTAAATAGTTTTAGGCTCTAAAGAGGCTACATGAAATTTATCCATTACATGTTATATGTGTAGCCAATTTAATTCAGTTTGGCAAAAAAAGAATCGAAAGTTGCGTTAACCAAGCTTTTAGGCTTCTAGATACCGTATGTTTTTTGGCAAAACAGGAATTACCGTTCATTTTGAAGTGAATGACTCTGACAATAGAGGAAATTACAGGGAATTGTTAACATTAATTGCCAAAAAAGATAAAAAAATTTCCGAACATCTAGAAACGTTGACTGTTTTTTCGGACGGCTTGGATTAGTCATAGCATAAGACGATGAGGTATATCAAGTGTTCCAGACGCTCAGTCCAGGAATGTTTACCTTAATTTAAAAATGATTTAAATAAAATACCCAAAATAAGTAAAAAATTGGGGGAGGTTCAAAATAAACTTTTTTTAATAAGATTTTTCACATCTGGTTTTGGTAACAGTGTAGGAAAAGTCACGCGTCGCCACTGCTGTTTGCGCATATATACATATATTACATAAAAATCTGCGCGTTAGCTTTGAATCGGATGCGCTATCCCAGCGAGGTCCATCACCTAAAGTGCTCCATCTTCCAAGTTCGCAAACTTCCGCTCGTAAAACTTACTGACGTGTTACAGTACACTGTTATATACTACAATAGGTCAAAATTATGGCTGGGTAAATCCTGTTTTTTTCTTGCAGCTCTTCGTAAGCCAAGCTATTTTAGGAAAACGAGACGTTCTTTTGCAGTGTACAAAGGTAATATTATTTTTTACAAATTTTATGATAGTTGTAAAACAATCTTTAAAGGGTATAGATAACTGGAAACCATTTTTTAAGCCTTATACTTCAAAAAAACACACACTTTTGACAATTTTCATGCAAAAGTTTGATTAAGCGTATTTACCATTTTTCGACAGGTATAGTAAGAAAATGGCATCAAGTAAATTGTCTATATACTTCCAACGCCTTCGTCGGAGGCTCCAAAGAAAATGGACGAGTCAAATCATCTCAAAGGCGAAATCGAAACGTGATTGATTAGGTTCACTTAGCTACGATGAATGTTCAACCTCTGCATATCAAACTATATAAATCAAATCTATCATATTTCTGTTTCCATGTCGTGTATGGAAAATATATGTCTAACAGGTGCCTGGTATCACTGAGATCTGCAGCTTCTTAATAATGGGTCATTCACTGAAATAAAACAACACATAAGGTAGTTTTAAATGACTTTATTGTTTTTCGAAGTATTCTCCACGAAGATTAATGCACATCTGCATGCGCGCGAACCAATTTTCGAAGCACTTATTCCACTCGTTTGCTGGCAGATCCAAAACGGCATTTTTGAATGCGTCAACTGCTTCTTCTGGTGACTGGAACCTTTGACCACGCAGTCTGTTTTTAATTTTCGGGAAAGTAAAGAAATCGTTAGGACTTAGATCGGGACTATATGGAGGATGGTCCAATAATTCCACGTTTTCTTCCGTTAAATACTGCCTTGTTTTTTGGGCTGTGCGCGAGCTTGCATTGTCTTGGTGGAGGATGATTCTTCTTTCGGGATTAATTTTTCGAAGCTCGGTGATGACTTTTGGCAAACAAATGGTGGTATACCAATCCGTAGTAACAGTTCTTTGCTCATTAAGAGGAATTGTTGCAATATGATCCGCTTTTGACACAAATTCCGCGACCATCTTTTTCGAAACACTTTGAGAACGGATGACTTTTGTTGGCTTTTTTTCACCTTGGAACACTCAAACAACCGACTGTCGTTTATTTCCTGGTTCATAACAGTAAATCCACGATTCATCACCACTAACAACGCTGTACACATTTTTTGAGTTTCCGGAATTGAAACGGTCAAGCGTTTTTTGACACCAATTAACCCTGGCTGCTTTCTGCTCTTCAGTCAACTGTTGGGGTATCCAACGAGAAACTAATTTTCTTACTCCTAATTCTTCATGTACATTTTTTTGAATTGAGGTCTGTGAGATCTTCAAGGACGCCTCATCAAGCGATATGTCACATGTCTATCTTCAATGATGAGTTTGCGCACAGATTTTCCTGGGTGACTGCCGTTTTTGGTGCACCCACCCTGGGATCGTCGCTAAGACTCACCCGTCCCCCTTTGAATTTTCCATACCAACGGGAAATTGTCGACTGATGTGGCGCTTCGTTGCCGAAACAAAGTTGTAATAAATTATGGCGCGAAAATGTTGTCGGTTGAGTTCCATTTTTCTAATGACTTGGTGACAAAAATTCACTGTAGTGAGAACACTGCACGTATGGTTGTGAAACTTTGAGTTTAAGTTTACTAAAGAGTGAGGTTAAGATTCAGTACTGACGTTCGATCCGTGCGGCCTACTACGTTTATATATGCAAAAGTTAAAAGACATCCCTCGTATGCAACAATTTATAACCATTTACCGCAAACTGCTTCTAACCTACAAATGTTCATACTCTCCAAGCAATGCCTGAAAATGAACAGGAATCTCTGAACGCTGTAACACTATGTTCCGGCGATTTTATTTCTGCTCCATTTAAATCAATTTTCAAAATATATGACTACCTAAATGATAGAAGTATTAAGCTCGCGATAATATTCGAACTTCGGTTCACAAGTTTTCTGTTGCTTAAAGATATCTGCATCACACAAATCTGTGTTTCTTATTTATGTCGGCTTGTTAGTCCGTGACTGTTGTATATCAATGCGTCGTAAGTAGTGAGTCAATCCACTTGACGAAATATTCAGAGAACGTTCATAGATGGAGAAACAGAAATTAAAGGTTAGACGAAATGCGTGATACATTTAAGGATCATAAAATTTAGAAAAATATATGTGTAGATATAAGTACAGTCATCATTTTATAAAGGCATCGCAAAACGCTAAAGTGCTAAGAACTCCTAATATCCAAATATTGCTAAAACTTATATATTTAAAAAATAATAAATAATAAAATATTTCTCCTGCAGCAGTGTGTCAGTGACGGAACTTCGGCAGACCAGTTGGAGTTTGTTACCCATTGCACAGTCGGCAGTGGCCTCCTCGACGATTCAGCATCGCGCCATGCACGCAACACCAACGATTGCCAAGTTATTTCAAATTATGAGCATCGAACTTCTATCATTTAATTTTCCCGTTGTTACCGAGATCAGAAGCTTCTTAATGAAAGAAAGTCTCTGACTAATACTAAAGACGTTACATTTAGATCCCCCTACCCCTTACAACTCCCAACCTCCAAGATTCAACCACTACAAAAAACAATCCGAAAATGATCCCAGCGATACTCAAGTTATAAAATTAGCGGACAAACCGACAGACAGACAGAAAAGAAAAAACATAATATCGAAATTTTTCGCGATTACACTACTTCCTCTTCAGTTTCGGCATAGGAAGTCAAAATGCAGGTTGGAATAAGAAGTTTGTTCCTTTTTTTAAAGGCCCAGCTTCTGTTTCAAAATATTATAACAAAACACAACAATTTTTTTTGTTTTTTTTTTATTTTTGGTCGCAAAATTAGTATTTCGTCCTAATGATCGACGTGTCACAATTATCACGCGCGATGCCCTTTGCGCCGCTTTTCCTCACTGTCCGTGCGCCTCGGAGTGTCAGTGGAAAACTTTCATAACATTAGGCAAACTTACGACAAGCAATTTGTTTCTAAGACAGAGCCCGCACGTCGACATAGTACGCCGTTATTGTACCCGGGAGTTCTATTTCCCAAACAAAACAATCTCAAAGCATGTGCGGCTCTACTTGGTAATTTATTTATTTGTTGTAATAATAACCGGGCATTATTTGTAAACTGAGCTCGATTAAAATTTCTGTTGTTTTTAAAACAATAACTAGCTGTTATTGTATTCAACAAAATATTTATATAATTACGTTGGGAGAATTATTAAAACATCTACGTGTGGCTGAATGTACTACATACATCAACTTATCACTGCTGTGATCTTTTGTAGTTCATATCGCATTGACCTGATGTCAATTTTGTTACACCATGTCACAAAATTGAAGAAGGTATAAACTGTTTTTCAATGACGACGAGGAGATGTTGAAGTGGGATGAAACAAGGTGTGTCCGGTATTAAGATTTGTTATACGTAAAATACTTGAAGAATTCACCATATACAGGGTGTTTCAGAAAGACGTGCCAATATTCCTAAGGGCCGTATCGTCAGTCGTTCCTAAAATTCAAAAAGACTTACATAAGACAATAGGAGAGCGCCGACGCTGATACGGAACAGTAGTCATCCGGAAATACTAAAGGAGGTCATAAGGGCATCCTACAATTACAGGGAAGACTGGCGATATGGCCTTAATTAAAGTAGAAAGTGCATCCAAAAATAACAAGAAATGTTCCTATACATAAAGATGCGCCCCTACCGAGATACAGGATCATGAAGTTTTATGTAAGAAATTAAAAAAAATGTATATCTACGAGTTCAGATACCGAGTTAGGATTTTATACGTTCAGTGAGCAATAAACACACAGGCCCAAACTAAACCAGGAACATAGAAACTGGGGTACCTGGACCCCTATTAGAAAATATTTTCTACGCCACTGGCTTTTTCGGAGAAAACAACTAAACTTTATAAGATATCATTTAATATTCCATGAATTACGTCTCTTGAGGGATATTTGTCATATCACTCGTTTTGGAGATATTTTGGCTTAAGTATCTGAGGTAAAATCCTAAAATATTCTCATTGTTCAAAGTAGATTTAAGCTAAATAAATCGTCTTCTATTCTATTAGTCAATTGCAGCTTACTATATAACAGATAGTCTATAATGTGTTCCATTTGTGGTACGGAACAGCTCCAACTAGCACCACAACCATAAAGTTCAATTCGGTTCGGAAGAAATTGTTTATCATCGACTTATAGATCCCGCATGTGACAGTACTGCCCTTATTAACGGTGTTCTGGAAAAGTATAGACCAAATACGCTCAATGAGCCTCTAGTAGATCGGGAAAGGATTGACATTATGGAGAGAGAGTCAGGCGACCAAATATCGTTGGTACTGCAAAATATCGGTTCTAGTAAGGAAATTAATGTTTGCGTGTGTAGTTTTCTGTTTCTTTTTTATTCTTTTAGTATCTACATGATTTATTATCCGTACTAATATTATAGATGCGAAAGTGTGTATGTATATGTTTGTATGTTCCATTTTTACGCCAAAACGGGTGAACTGATTTCGATGAATTTTTGCACAGATTACAAGCCTATAATAATATTCCGTAGGTAATAGTCGATATTTTATCGCCAGACAATTAATATTTGTTAGTAAATAGAATGGCCAGTCAAAATTACCTGTTATTTGGAATTATGTTCGGAATATAATAACATTTGTACCTAGTATGTGCTAATCCGTATATAGTAAACAAAGTCCCACAAAAGCATGTAAAGCTGGAAAGTGAGGTTTAATCATGTACATGCACGAGTACAGAGCCATAAAAAATGCATAATGTTCTTTGACAAGAACTGATGGTAATCTCGTTTTCGATATCAAGGAGATATTATGCAACCACATCCACTGTTTGATAAATGAGCACCATGTCGGCTTTCGGAGTGCTAAATCAATTTCCGCAAGGTTATCATGGAAAAAAGTATGGTGGAGTTAAAAGTTGAGTCAGTGAGCTTTAATCACAGAAAGCCTTCTAAAATTATGCTACTGTGCGTTTTAGCAGCGTTCCAAGGTTCTACTCCCCACAGTTTGACAACGTCCTAAAGTAATCATGAACCTTTAGAATTTCTGCCGAATACTAGAGGACAAAGTGCATGTGAGATTTGCGTCTAGTAAGCAGGTGGGTACTGAAGGTGCAACTAGTGTGGCTCCATAGTAAGAGATGCCCCATATAGGTGTAAGCAGCAGTTGCGTCATGCGTATTATGTTCTATCTGATGTTTACTAAGCTATTTTCTTATATTTGCGTTTGGCTACACTGACTACGTTCAAGGGTTAGACTTTTGTTTGCCAAGGTATACTTCTGTTTAATAGGTCTTTTACTTTTGTTACAAGTATCAAGGGTACATGCGTCTATATATGCACCTAAATATATTCTCACATTATTGGTTTTTTTACTTTGAGCAAGTTGTATATTAGATATTCCTTTTATCATCTCATCTAAGATTTTATTGGAAAGTGAGAGCACTTTCGTAATATCAAGGAATGACCGACGTTACAGACATATCCGCCTGCGATGAGGTGGTGAATGTTGGCGAATAAAGGCATCTGCTTTGTTTGTGACTAGAGTGAGCCCCTGAGAGAGCTGTGGGATAGTGGGTACTGCACCTTAATGCTGAATACATGTTATTCCAAGTCCACGTCGATTTATTATTGATATTTCCAATAACTTGAATTATTCCCATATTATTCGGTCTATAAGCTCGTAGCACACGAATTCCTTCTAGAAAGTTCAGAAGTCTGGCTGATGTCACTCAACGCCCTTAGGCCTGTTTAGAAAATACATTCCATTCCTCTGCGCATTTGTTCCAGGGTAAGCTTGCACTGACGTCATTTACACGCGGATGGGTATAACGGTCGCTTCTAAAATCAAGTAATTACAATGTTACTGTTTGCAATGTTTTGGTTCCTGAAAGGTGAGCAACCACCGTGTGTTTCCTTGGTTCTACTGTATTGTACGGATTTAAAGCTACAATACTTTTATATTCATGATCATGAATGTCTTAAGCCATATTTATAAATTGCTTTTTACCAACTTGTTATGGCACTTCCGGGGCCGGATTGCCGGGATCGGGTACTTATGTTGATTACTGCTCGATTTGGTCTGCCAGAGTCGCTGGAGTCTGAAAGGATCGCATGGCAAGATGTGTGTAGAGATTGTTAGTTTAAAGTAATCATGTTGCTCGGTTATATTTAGATCAGAGGTAACGTCGGAGCTTTTGTGTATTGATATGGCAACGTAATATCCTGGTTTCTGGACTAATTTTCGTAACAATCGTTAAACACAGCATATCTGTTCGGATACCTAGCGACCAAATAGTCTGTCTGTCGAAATAAAACAATACACAAAACACCATCTATGGTTAGTTTGTCTGTGTGATGACCCCTAGTCTGTCTCTGAGACGATCCAATAATCTGTCTGTGTGACGATCCGATGATTCAGTTTGTGTGAAAAATCCTTACTGGTAGTCTGGGTACACTGATGTAATGGTAACTAGTAAATTTGAGCATGTCATTACATGAGTCAGTCGAGTACCAGAGGT